ATAAAGTTATCGTGATTAATTCGACGGACTGAATTATATCGTCTAAGTTTTATTTCCAGCCCTCCGGCTAACACTGCCCATCAAAGTTTTGATTTAAACTTTTGAAGTAGTATTATCTTTATAGTTTATTATATCATTTTATTTTATTTTATTTTATAATATTATATGTTCAAGGCGCTGAATGTGCTAGTTATTCTAATGTTTCACAAGCGGAACCTTTAATTTAATGCAAATTGTTTTCGCTCGAAATATTGATCGCAAAATAAGTCGTTTTTATTAAAATCAGGTCATTGTAATATCTTAAATTATCTGAATTTGATTTTAATAAATAAATGTCAGAGATATCTTTTATTACTGCGTTATCATACACATTTTAAAATTTCTCCAACAAAAATAACCAAAATGAGATTTATGATTCAAAATATTTGTATGAACTCAAATTGGTTAAATTTTTACTGCCAATTATCTTATTAATAAACAAACCATGAAGCAAATTTCGTGTAACATTAATCAATATAATATTATGAATTTTTAGATTTGAAAATTTCAAATATTTTCTTTGCAAAATATATTATTTTTTGGTTTTATCGCCGGTGTTACTCATCCAATACAAAATTTTTTGGCGGTCCCTAGAAATACAAACATGTGATGATCACCGCCGATTATACGAAATTTTTTTTTAATTTTATATGTATAATCATATAATATTTTTTTTTTACAAATGAATTTTTGTAAAAAATTAACAAATTATGATAATAATGATAATAAATTGCTAAAGATATTAATGTTATTAAATATGGATAATAAAATTAAAATAATCATTATTATCAATTTCAATTCTGCAATTAGGAATTACGACCTTACGGTAATATTACAACAGTGGTATGATTTTTTTTGGCATTATGGCGGTGTTATATTACATCAACGTGATATTTCAGCATCATTCGAACCTAATTCACCACCATGAATGTCTCTACCGAATCTCAATTCCCTATGAAACTGCCACGAAAAATTGAATACCAAGGTAGAGGTAGTACCACCTATTCCTTCCAGAAATCAGGCTCCTTAAACCTATTCCCATAGTGAACAAGCCAGCTCCTACAATCGCCAAAACAGTTGAGAAACAGTATCCTGAATTATCTTTTTTAAGCGACAGTGAAGAAATTCATGAATTTTATCAAGTAGCCAGCGGGAATCTTTGTCTTGTATGGGGTAAGAAGCATAAAGAGCCAATACGAGGAAAGTGAAAAGGCGCCTATTTTTTGATTTACATGAGAAAATCTATATCCTACGATGTTCCCCCAAAGTAGCATAGAAATAGCACAAAATTGTTAAGGTTGCAAAAAAATCTTCCGCAGTTATGCTTCGTCATGTGAACCGATCACCTAGTATTATATCGGGAAATTCTTATAGAGGCTATGCGACGTAAGATATGCATATATATTTCGCATTATTTTTTGCTAAAATTTAATTTTGATGCTTGTATAAAAAGTGTTATTGAAAATGGAATTCGAGTTTTGGCTTATAGAAGAAAATGACAAATTTATGGCTAAGATAACTGGGGGTTCGAGTTCGAGAAAGTTGAGCTTGAGGCAAAGTAATGCTGAGCTTAGAGAAAGAGTTGCGAAATTGGAATAGTTGCAGAATATAATAATAAAAAACTTTTTACATGCGTCACAAGTATCGCAAAATACGTGATCATGCTAACCTTTATAGCTTTTTAACACTGCCAGCCAGTGACGTTTATACATGCTATATTTACGTGTTTTATCTTCAATAACTTTTTATCAATTTAGATAAATTTTTGGCAATCGATATTTCGCATGATGGATGTATAATTGCCGTGATTTTCTGGGGGATTAGCGAATGACGAAATGCAGTGCGTAATTGCATGTAATTATTCTCGAGCTTTCCCGCATGCGTCAAAGTTTTTTTATTATAATTCTGAGCGGATCAAGTTGATCAGATTTACTTGAGATATTTCAAAATTCCAAATTCGATTTTTGGAGCACTACCGATCATATAATGAGGTTAGTGATCCCTTTTATCCACTTTCTACAAAAAAATAAAGTAAAACGTCTTTAAATCATCAATCAAACCGCAAAACAAGATAAAAATGAGGTATGTTGGAGATGCCGGTAATATGGGATCTTTGCAATAGAAAGGGGGGGGGGGGGGGGGGAAATTGGCAAAAAAAAAAAAATATAGTTAAAAAAAAATTTTAAAATATTTCGGCCAAAAA